CAATTAATACCGCTTGATTTGAACCTTGTTGGGGCGACCAAAGGAGTGATGTGCTTCCTGAGGTAAGATACTCGCATGTTTTAAGTTATTTTTGAATCACATAGATATCATGTTCTAGCTCATGTTAACATAATCCATGTTTTAAGGATTCTTGATGACCCATTTAGTTGTTTTGAGCTTATACTCCCTGTTTCAAGGGGTGTCCAAAAGAGGGCACTGAAATGGTTTCCTATCACCACTAAAATGGCTTCCTTTACCAAGAAAGGGTTATCGATCAACACTTAAATAGCTTTCGATCAACATGTAATGGCAGAGTTTCTGATCCGTCGACATTGAAATGGTTTCCTATCAACACTCTAATGGCTTTCTTTACCACCAATAACTTTAACTTTATAATGGCTTTCTGTCCATACTCTTGACCAAAATGACTCTCTTCACAACCAGAAAGAAAGCCTTTAATGAAATCACACTGAATTGGCTTTCAGTAGACACTTGAATGGCTTCCTTTAAGCACTAAAATGGCTCTTCATACAATAAAAATAGCTTTCCTCATCATCAAAATGGTTTTCTTTCAGTCCAAATTGCCTTTCTTTACCACTAAAAATACTCGATTATAAGTAACACTGAAATGGCTTTCTGCTGTCGACACTCAAACGGCTTCCTAGTTATGAGCACTCAAATGGCTTCCTTCAGCACCAAAGTGACTTTTTATCAGCACTGAAATGGGTTTTTATCAGGATTGGGCACTTTCTACTATATTTCATCAAAATTATTGAAGATTTTCATTAAAAAAAGGTTTCAAGCAGGAATCGATATCATCAAAATATCCATTTACGCCATAATTTCAACAATTTCAGTCCCGATTAAGTTCTATGACAGTATGTACAGGTTTATAATCCCAATAAGCTTGTCAAAATGTAATTCAGTACTTCAATGATTTCCTACATCATGAAAGTTTGTCGTCAATCGAAGTCATTGTTATCGTTTTCATTCGATTTAACCGGATAATACTCTTGACTGGTGATTCTACAAAACAGCGCGAACATTCGAGCTCTAGCTTTATAATCCTCATGCCTCTTGAAAATACTTGGCTGGGTTTATTTTCAGCGAATGCAAAGTTTGTGTATTCTAAAAAAATCTTTGATAATCTGACGTCATACTAGTTTTATTACGAATATAAGCTCTTCCTTTCAAAAAGGGCACAAGGTCTTATTTAATAGGGATTTTTACATGCCATATTTGCAGGGATTATGTATTTGAACGAAATTTCGTTGATCAGACTTTATAGAATGCGAACACTAAAAGCGTGAAAAACTACCAAATGGTACTAAATAGCACAATAAAGTGTAGATTTGACAATAGTTAAAACCGTTCCATTTCGAGGTAGTGTTTGCATGCCTGAGTCTTTCCGATTAGTAGGACACTTGACATAAAAAGTCATTTTTTTATAGAAAACAAAGGAATTCGTATAATTCAGTACAGCTTAATACTCTTTGATTACTAAAATCTTTCTTGGTTTTAACGTTTGCACTCTAAACAACAAATGTACAAATGGCTACTAATGTTCACTATCTATTCTAATTATCCTAATTATAAATTCTCTGAATGCTTATATATTTTTTGGCCTAAACAAACAAAAACTCTGGTACATGTATACAGTCGCTTCTTTGTTTGAGCGGCGCGCGATATATCAATGCAAAGGCGAAAGAATGCACTAATGTTTTTTCTGCCATTCCCATCAACCCCTTCGAGGGTAGCGAAAATGAGTAAAGACTAGGTACGACTCTGGGATGTACTCAGTTGCATCTTGAATATACTCCACGTTCATCAGACGGCAAAAAGAACCACAAATCCACAATCAGATTAAAGTGTATTTGTAAACTAAAAAAACCCAGAACATAACCAAATAGCGATGTTGAAAATGGCCTAATTTGACGAGATTTCAACGGCTTTCGGCCGATAATTGCCATATAAGGCCTGGAGCCGACCTCTCTTCTCGATAGTCTGGTAAGCCTGTGATCGGTGCTCAGCGTTTCTGCAACTTTAATAGCTGTCATTGTCATCTAATATGAGAATTATTTTAAAAGATACCACCTTGGACATTAATGGCCTTATCGTTTCATAGTCATCTAAAATGAGAATAGTATATTAAAAGATACCACCTTCAGCTTTAATAGCCCTAAAACCTGAACACTATATGCGACGATCATCCGCGCACGTTGCAAACTTGAGTACGCCCCCCCCCCCCCCCCCCCCCCCCCCCCCCCAGACCACC